TTGAGATGAGGTCTCACTTTGTCACCCAGCTGGAGTGTAGTGGTGTATTCTCAGCTCATTTCAACCTCTGCCTCTCGAGTTCAAGAGATTTTCCTGCCTCAGCCTCCTGAGTAGCTGAGATTACAGGCACACGCCACCACTCCCAGCTAATTTTTGGATTTTTAGTAGAGATGGGGTTTCACCATGTTGACCTGGCTGGTGTCAAATTCCTCACATCAGGTGGTCCGCCCACCTCAGCCTCCCAAAGTGCTGGGATTACAGGCATGAGCTACTGTGCCTGGCCTTTAATATATTTTGAAATATAGTTCTATTTATTTATTTATTATAATTTTTTTAAAGATGGAGTTTCACCATTTTGGTCAGGCTGATCTTGGACTCCCAACCTCAGGTGATCCACCCACCTTGGCCTCCAAAGTGCTTGGATTACAGGCATGAGCCACTATGCCCAGCCATAGTTTTGTTTTATTTTGAGATGAAGCCTCACTCTGTTGCCCAGGCTGGAGTGTAGTGGTGCAGTCTTGGCTCATTTCCACCTCTGCCTCCCGAGTTCAAGCAATTCCCCTGCCTCAGCCTCCCAGGTAGCTGGGATTATAGGCACACGCCACCATGCTCAGCTAATTTTTGTATTTTTAGTAGAGATTGGGTTTCACCATGTTGGCTAGGCTGGTATCAAATTCCTGACCTCAGGTGATCTGCCCACATCAGCCTCCCAAAGCGCTGGGGTTACGGGTATGAGCTACTAGCCCAGCCAATATATTATCTTTAACTATAGTCACCATACTATGCAAAAGATTACCAGAATTTATTCATCCTATTTAATTGAAACTTTGTACAATTTGACCAGCATCTCCACTTTTCACATCTACCCCTTACCCCAGCCTCTGGGAACCACCATTCTACTCTTCACATTTTTTTTTTCTTTTTTTTTTTGAGACAGGGTCACATTCTTTCACTTGGGCTGGAATGCAGTGGTATAATCATGGCTCACTACAGTCTCAACCTCCTGGGCTCAAGCAGTATTCCCACTTCAGCCTCCTGAATCGCTAAGACTACAGGCACGTACCATCACACCATTTTATTTTTAAAAATTTTTTTTTTTTTGGGACGGAGTTTCACTTCAGTTTCCCATTCTTTTTTGCAATGGCGCGATCTCGGCTCACCGCAACCTCCGCCTCCTGGGTTCAGGCAATTCTCCTGCCTCAGCCTCCTGAGTAGCTGGGGATTACAGGCACACGCCACCAGGCCCAGCTGAATTTTTGTATTTTTAGTAGAGACGGGGTTTCACCATGTTGACCAGGATGGTCTCGATCTCTTGACCTCGTGATCCACCCGCCTCGGCCTCCCAAAGTGCTGGGATTACAGGCGTGAGCCACCGCGCCCGGCCTCTTTTTTTATTAACTATGGAACGCTTCACAAATTTACGTGTCATCCTTGCACAGGGGCCTT